AAAAAATTAAAAATTAATTTTATTTATGTGGTACAGAGGAATTAAACCCAGGGTCTTATGTACGCTAGGCAAGCACTAAGCCACATTCCCAGCCCCTCCTCTCATTTTTTTTTTTCTGTGACAGTCTTTTAACCTTTACTCAGGCTGTTCTCAAATCCTCTAGGCTCCACCTCCTGAGTAGCTGGAAATGATAGAAAGTGACTTACCTTAAAGCACTCACTTCACCGCCACAGCCATCCTTTTTTGTCCGTCTTGGGGCTTGAACTGTCGGCCTGGGCACTGTCCCTCAGCTCTTCAGCTCTAGGCTAGCACTCTACCACTTCAGCCACGGCGCCACTTCCGGTTTTCTAGTGGTTTATTGGAGATAAGAGTCACACAGACTTTCCTGCCCCGGCTGGTTTTCAACCATGATCCTCAGATCTCAGCCTTCTGAGTAGCTAGGATTACAGGCGTGAGCCACCAGCGCCCAGCTTCCACAGCCATATTTTAGAACAGCCCTTGCAGCTGACCCCATTGAGTCATCTTCCCTCCCTTCTCCCCTGAACAAATGTACCACCTGTCTTGAAAGAGAACCTATGACCAAGGCCACATCTGATGCTAATCTCCCTGACTAACACAGAGGCTGTTAAGTCCTTGAAATTCCTCAGTCAAAATAACAGTTGCTCATCCACCCCGCCTCCATCTCACCCGATTTCACTCTTTCTGCCTAATATTTAAAGAGACCCTAGTTACAAGAGGGCGGGGGGGGGAGGGGGGGGAGGGATTGATTTGGTTGCCTTTCCCAGGCTTTATTCCCAAATAAAGCCTTTTGGTCTGTTGAATTCCCTTTCTGTCCTTTCTTTATTCTGATACCCTTGTGACTACATTTCCTTACAGGGATTACAAGCATATGACCCCCCCAACACACACACACACACACACACACACACACACAAAACCTGCCTTTACATATTTTTTTCCTTTCATTTTGGTTTTGCCAGTCCAGTATAATGATTCATGCCAACTGATTGCACTATTCAGAACAAGTCCAAGTCCATTCTCATATTCAGATCCTATTCTTTGTTTTTTTTTTTTCTTTTTCTTTTTTTCACATGGTCCTGGGGTTTGGAGCCACTCTCCCAGTAACTTTTAAATTCCTCCAAATGCCACATTTTCTTTTTTTTCTTGTTTTTATTTATTTTTTTAATTTCATTTTTTTTCTGGGGGTCC